AGCGCGGCGCCGGCGCCACGGGGGGCAAGACCGGAGCCCATGGGCGCGCCAGCCTCTCCGTCCTCGTCGAGCGCGGCAGCCGCAGAGTCGAGCTCGGCAAGCTGGTCCTTGTACGGACACTTGGCAGTGAAGTGGCCTCCCTTACAGAGACGACAGACGACGGCCTTGCCCGCCGGCTGCTTGGCGGCCTCGGCTTCGGCGGGCAGCAGCCTTGTTCAGGGGCGCAATCTTGAAGTGCAGGTTCTCTCCGATGATCGTCGTCTGGCGGTCCGGTCCGGCGGGCTTGCCCTTGTCGTCACCAAACTTGGCCCAGTGCTTGCGCTCGGCGACCGTGTGCGACACAACCTGCGTCTGCAGCTTGCGGCGCACTCGCCGCGTCACCTTCACCTTCTTGCCAGCATCGTTCAGCTTCCAGCTGACAATCGTCGTGATTCCGTCCGCACCGAGCGTCTCAGTCGTAGGCGGGAGCTCAACTGCATGTTAGTGACTGCGTACAATACCGATCATGGGAGTGCCGGTGATGCAAAGTCATCGCGGCCATCTGGAACATCTGGGGACAGGTCGGAGGAAAGGGCTTCGATCGAAGAGCGAGGAAACAAGAAGTCGAGAAGGTGTCGTGTGTCTTCCATCGAGGTGCAAGTCCATGTTGCGTCATATCAAGATCCGAAGACGCTGTCACGTCGTCCGAGACAGCTTGTAGGGCTAGCCAAACCGCTATCGCTTACTGTCGAAAGCGGAGAAGACTCGCGGCCAGCTTTCCAGGCAGCACTCCATTGTGAAAGCGCTCGGTCCCTGCAGCCTCCTGCCAACGTCATTCCGCCCTACTGCACGTCGATTATCGCTCGCGATCGCACTTTCTCGATGCCCGTTGACCTCCCAGCCCCGACAAACCGAACCAGGCCGTTCTGCACGTGTCGTAAGGCGTCTTTGCTGCTGTTGCAGTATCCCAGAGTCCCGGATGACAAATATTCGCGAACACCACGACACATCCCCTCGATCGTCGTTATTTCGATACTCACACTCGTCCTCCTCGGCCCAGTCAGATTTTAACCTGCAAGTCAGCTCCTGTAGCCACGGGGACGTCTGCGACCTGGCTGTACTTACGGCTTGCTCATGTTGTGTATAGGTGGGTGTCAACGACTAATCTCGCGTCCTTAGTCGGCCAGGCCACCGCCAGGCCACAACTCTTTTGTGCCCTTGACCCTCAGTCAACGGTGGCAACGCTCCACGTGGCCGGCGTTTTTATGTGGCACCACTTGAGGCGTTTTGATCAATCAGTTCAACGTCAATGTTGCACCAAAGGCAAGACCATGCAGCGATATGGCGTAGATCCTCGCATACGAGAACAGTTACAATCTAATACACAATGCGTACAACAATAAGAATAATTATTTATGCCTAGAAAACCGTCTGTAAGCATGGTAAGATCATCATGCGCTTGGGTAGAGGTTGCTTTGTTAAGTCGAGCCGATGCTGTTAATGATTGGGGACTGGAGACAGTTCTGGTACACTCTCAAGCTCTGTTCGATCGAGGACACCACCGGCAGAATTGCGGGTGCACTCCAGCTCCTCGTCCAGGTCCTTGTCGATGATGACCAAGGAGTCTTCCTCCTCTTCTCCGCCCTCATCGGACAGGGAGGGCACTGTGGCGGAGAATGGAATTGCCCCAGACTGCGCCGTGACGTGGGGTTGAGCAGAAATGGATGCTTCCGACTCCTCGCCCTTCGGCTCCGGCGAGTCACCTCGGGCTGTGCTGGCGAGATCCCGGACAGTCTCATCCTTTGGGAAGTTGTAGCTGCTCTGCGAGCCCGTCTGTCGTCAGCCACGAACAGCAGTTGAGAGGTCTCCGCGCGAGCTCACTTTCTGATGAGTTTGTTTGGGCGTGGTGTCTGGATCCGCGTGCTGCATAATGACGGGCAGTGGTTTAGATGGCACCCCGGCAGGACCCTTGGAACTGAGAGCGGTTAAACTTCGTTTGCGCGGTGGCGGGATGATATGATGTTGCGGGCTGTCGCCATCGGCAGAAAGACGCGGGAATGCCCTCAACGTCTGAGATGAAGGGAGGCGGGGCGGCAGCTCATGTTGTTGCTGCTCAAACGATTCGTCATCGTCAAGCTGTATCGTAGCAATCGATGGCAGAGGTCGTGAGGCATGCTCCATCGGGGTCTCTACAGACCCGGAATCGAAGTCTTCGGAACTGTTGCACGACAAGGCTCCGATCGCATCGTGCGAAGCGCTGCCTCCGTGTGAGGAGGTAGTCGATGTTGAGAAAGTATGAGAGTGTTGCGAATGTCGGTTGCTGTACCGAGGTACGACCGTTGCGTTGGACACGTAGCGGTGGCCCATCCTCCCAAATTCCATGTCCCCATCATCCTCGAACTCATCGTCATTGAATTCTCCATCACTGTCAGGGTCGGGCTCAGACACGCTTTCTAAGCCGGACTCAGCGTCGCTCCACGTAGGAGGCTCGTCCTGAACGTTGAAGAACTTGTGAGGGAGGCGGGACACTCTCTCGCAGAAGTCCTCGAATTCCGCCTCGTTGGTGCACAGGAAACCCAGAAGCATTGATGGGTCAAGTCCAGAGAGGGGGAGCTTCTTCACCCTGTCGCAATGGAAGGTCTTCAGAGCTGTCTCCGAGTACGCTGATGCGTACCACGAAGTCTGAGGGTCGACTGGTAGGGCGCTGGCCGCGCGGGAAGGCGAGGACTGGATTGAGCTATCTGTCGATGAGTAGCGAGTATGGGTGGCGGGGGAGGCAAATGGCGATTGCTGAGGAGAACCATGGGGAGCACTCAGAGTCGGCGTGGTTGGCTCGTCGAGGTCGACGCTACCGCGAGGAGGTGGGGTGCTGGGCACCCTCAGAGGCTGAGAAGGATTGAAGCGTCTGTCACGGCGTAAGGGGTGGCGGGTTTCAAAGCGGGCTGCGTGGTCTACATCGACGACATCCACGCGAGGTCGCGGGATGGAGGGATCGTCACCGAGACCGTCATCCGAGATCGAATCAACATCATCCTCGTGCTCCTCCTCCTCACGCTCTTCAAGGATGTCCGCACTGACCTCACTATGGGGTGCCGATGTACACGGAGTGCGCTGGGCTGATCTCGGAACCTGCACCGGAGGGAGCCCAGCGGATGCGGGTGGCACCCGAAGAGGAACAGCGGGCCGAGTGAAATGAGGATCCAGGTAGAACAGTGAATTCGCTTGAGACGCGACGAAGTAATAAGAGGATGAGGGTCGGCCGCCTGCAATCCCTACGGACTGTGGCCAGGTGAATAATGCCTGTGGGTTAGATACCATGCAGCCACTCATTGAGCTCACCTTGATATCATCGTAGTACATGGGATTAACCCCATCCAGTCCCAGGCGCGTAGGGATAACGATAAGCACTGCTTTACCGCCCCAGCTCATACGGTGGTACGAGTTGGGTCGAGAGGGCTTAGCTCCAGTCGTCCAATCAGTCGGCAAATTGGAGGCTTGGTAGACCTCAGACCGGAAGACACTACCATCGGCGGCAGACACTACCGAAAGCCCACAGGGTGGGAACGAGTTGGCCAATGTTTTCAGAGCGCCGGCGGCAGTGCTAGGGCCAAACCATTCTCCCACCTCCTTACCCAGCTCTTTACCGATGAGAGCAAAGCGATGGACACTGAACGGGCAAAGCGGGGAGGGGTCGTCCATGAACCACGAGAGGACACGCACATAAGTGGAGTATGCCTCCAGCTCTGCAAGTTCAAGGGGAGTACGGGGATGCACGCTGGGTTTCTGGGTCGGGACGCGCCATCCCCTTCCCAGGTGAAGATGGATGAGGGCATTGGCGAGCATGCTCTGTCCAGTGCGCAACATACAGCCCCACCCGGCGTCGCTGGTCAGCCCGCGCTCACCTCCCTTGACCCAGCCCCAAGCACCACCCCCAGATTGACGAGACGGCATCATTGTCTGGGAGTGGCTGAGCCCTTCATTCTGAGCGAAGGCGCCAAAGTACGCATCCGCGTTTGGAATCAGCTGGTCGTGGGGCATCGTCAGGATGGGCGCATACTGCTCGCGGTATGTACACCAAACGCGGGACTTGAAATCATCGTAGACTAAGACTGTCAGCGGCCGAGGCGTTAGGTCCACTCACAATGGTCCGGCCACGTGAGAATCTCCTTCGGTCGGTCCTTCTTCAATCTCGTCACACCCGAGTCGGAAGGCGGTGTCGCCGGCGCATTCGCCTGAGCTCCGATGTTCATGCTCGAGCCAAATATGTTCCCAAGGCCCCTAGCCTGTGGTGGCGTAGACTGAACATTCTCCTTCCCCTTGATAGTCCGCTGATCGACGCGCGGTGGAGTGGCCAACACCTCACTCTCGGGTATCGGGGTGTCCTCGAGTCGTGGGGTCCAGCCAGGGTGCCCGACGCCCATCACCCACATAGTGTCTTGACAATGGTCTGGTTGAGCGTCCGAGTCGAGTAAATAGCGCATTCCACTAGCTGCCTTGTTACGGGCTGCGCTGAATATCGACGCAGCGATGGATTGAGGGCGTCGTAAGGGTGACGAGGTCGAGACCTGCTGCGGTTGAGATGGTGTTCCTTGCTCGACAGGGGGGACTGGGGCTGGAGCTGGAGACGCCGCAGCAGCCTCAGAACCGTTGCTCGTGGGCATAATGTTGGTGAGCCAAGAGGACATTCGGCTTGAGACGGTGTCGGCTCTTTGAAGAGTGGAGCCGTTAGATCCTCGAATGGTGCCCCCTCCTGTTGCTGAGTTGTGGAATTGGGCGCTATCGCGGTGGCGCAAGCCTTGCGGCGTTGTCTGTGGCGCGGTGGGCTCGGAGTGTTCTGAGGGAGGTTTAGAGTGCGAATGATACGACACCGAAGATGATCGTCGGAGAGTGAAAGTCGTGCTGGGATGCCAAGATGATGGCTGGTGCGTCTCAGGCGAGGCGCGAGGGGAACTGTTTGTGCTGGCGCGCGACAGGCTCCAGTGCTTATTCCGTGAGGAGCCCGTTTCAGACGCCGTCGAGGAGAAGGAGCTCTGTCGTCCAGACTGTTGGTGATGCCTGATCACCGCCGCGTCGTCCTCAGAATGGTGTTTGTGCGAACCATTGGAGGTACGTTGGAACAGCCTCGAGGTCTTCTTCGCTAACGTGCGGCTCTTCGACAGCCGCTTCTCGGGCCGCCTCTCAATGGCGGCCGCGGACGACAAATGAGTAGACGCCGATGATTGTGTGGATGCCGACGTTTGTGCGTCATCGGCTGGGAGAAGTTCGGCCGAGCGAGATAGCGTGCTGGCTTCTCGACCAACTGACACAGTGGCGTTCACATGGCCGTTTCGTGACTCGCCCTCCACGAGCCACTCATCGTTGTCATCCACAGACGGCGTGGGAGGGATGGGATCTGGGGTGGGTGTTGACCTCTTGCGAAACAAGCCGAGCTTCTCCTTCTTCCTGCTTCGCGTACCGGCCTCTTGATACGATGAAGGAGGCATGGAGGTTGGATGAGAGGGAGGGGCGAGCTGCGCCGGCCCGTCGTGTGGCGAGTCGGGCATGCTGACCAAGTTAGCGAACGAGACGTTCAGGATCAAGGGAAGAAGGGTGGCAAACAAGTCATGTTCCGCACATGAGCGTGACGCGACCGACTACGCACCTTCGCTTGTCGCAACCACGGCCTACTGGCTGATTAAAAAGGAGTGTGGATTGAGTCTAGACAGATGGGAGGCGATGGATGCGATGCTGGCAGACGCGTGAGCAACGACGTAACGTTTGGCGTTTGCTGTGGGCGTAATTGGGCCCGCTGGGTGGGAATGAGAACGAAAGAGCGGGACCGAATTGAGAGTCGAGATGTGGATGTCGAGGGGGGCAGCAGACTACGCTGCCGGTCGCCTCTCCGTCGGGGGAAAGTGGATGATAGAGTGGGATGTCGGGAGAGATGAGTAGTGGTGAGGTGTGAGTGAGTGACAGAGGCAAGAGCGTGTGTCCGAGCGACAGCGGCGGCGTGAGGTCTCCCAGGGTGCGTCAGGTCACCAGTCGTCACTGCCCTTAGGCACCTTGGGGAACCCTGAGCCACGTTCGATTCTCCCCGGGGCCACGAGTCCACCAGCAGGCGTCCACAGCACTTTTGCTTACTGGACCACTCGCTGCGACCGGGCTTGTGCGGTGTCCGCCAGGGGTTCACAACGAAACGCGCAAGAGGGGGTCGCGCGGTCCGTCAGGAATGACGTCGCATCCGCGACTCTGCAACTCGACATCCGTTCGTCAACACTGCAACTTGCCAGTCACTTCAACCTTAACCATGCCGCATAAAGTGAGCCGAGCCCTTCCGGTGCAACTACTCGCTCCTGACCAGGTCTCGGGCCCAAGTATCCCGGCGCTGACGCTGCTTGTCCCATCCTGGACAGTTCCATTGCACTTCATGAACCACGCTGCCATTCGGAGTCAACCGCTAACCCGCAGGGTGGCATCAGTTGGCCCATTCAGGAGGGAACCTCAGACCCAGTCGCACAGTTCATCCAACCCGGATCGGTAAAGCTCGAGTCGCCTGCGCATGGCATTGCTAACACTTCCCAGAAATTGTCATGGCACTACAACTGGAACAAGAACTGGGATGAACTTCTACCTGGCACAACGCCTGGGCTAACCATCAACGCGGAGTTCGTGCCCATGATGTACGTCGTGCCCGCCACCGATGTTCCAGCTTCTAACAGTGCTCCTGAACTGACTCTAGCTTTGCGCCTGGGTACCTAGACAACGAGTTCCGCCTGCAGGATGGTTGGAAGTTGCTGTTGGGGTACAACGAGCCTGGTGAGTGTCGATCAACCCATTGTTGGTGTCTGACAGCAACAGACCATGAGGACCCCAACGTCGCCGTCCGAACGACACCAGAGGAGGCAGCAAGAGCGTACGTAGTGAGGAGCGCGCTGCCCACAACTGATAACGAAGCTGGGTGCATCTCGCCAACTTGCGTACACCGGGAAAGAGATTGGCATCACCTGCTATCTCACACGACATCGACTGGCTGCAGGTAGGCGCTCATCGGCCAAAGCTCAGCTGACATTCAGAAATGGTTCTCCCTCATCCCTCCTGAGACCAAACCGGACGTGTTGGCTATTCACGTCTATACCACAACGTTTGATTCTTTCCGTCAAAAAGTTGAAGAGTACTACAGGCTATTTGGTCTCCCGATCATTGTCACAGAGTTTGCGATGACAAGTTTTGATCCAAATGTCCCTCCTCCGGCGAGCCAGCAGCAGGTTCATGACTTTATGGGGCAGACGACAGCCTGGCTAGACGCGACGCCTTGGGTCGAGTGAGTTGAGCGAGATCTGGTGCAGCTGACCGTAGACGATTCGCTTGGTTTGGGGCAGCTCGTAACCCGTGGAATCTCCACGGCGTTCACCCCTTCAATCGACTGATGGATGAAGCCGGCAACCTCACGCCTTTGTAGGTAGTCCGAACTCAAACACACCGCTGACAGAGAGGGGCCAGCAGTATGTTGCGGGCGGCCATGCTTGAGGCGTTTTGAACGGGATGAGTGGGCACACAGTCCAGCTCGCGCCCTCGAAGATCCTTGTCCCATGCCTCTTCAGCCCCTTACACCTCAGCATCTATCGTCTAGCCTTTCTTATCCTTCACACCGACACTCATCCCCGATGCCGCGCGCAATCAAACAATCGCCTCTCCTTGAGCAGAAGCCCTACTCTCGCATGACTTCGACTGCTGTCAAGTCCGAGGAGGGCGAGCTCCTCCCCGACGTCAAGCTTGAAAACAAGAACAAGCAGCCTGCAAGTGGCAAGTCCAAAGGACGTCCTTGGACAGCTGCCGAGCTCCTCGCCCTCTTCGACATTGTCGGCATCCCCTCCCCGAACGCCAAAGCCTTTGAGGGCCGCATCGAGGGTCGCTCCGGCTATCAGTGCCAGCAGACTTGGCGGTGAGCATTTGGGGTTCCCCGTGCAGCTGACAAGCAGCAACACCGTTCTCCCCTATCTCCGCAAGGCTCTGCAGGAGAAGCCTGGTCTTAAGTGACTTGCCTCGTGCATTCGACGGGCTCCAACACCATGCATGTACAACTACGACCTCTTCTCTTTCTCCGCGACACACTTGCGAAGATACGGCTCGAGCGTTGCTCTGCAGTCAGGCCCCATCAACCTGCAGCCACTCACTTCCATGTACTCAGGCACTGATGACCGGTGCGGCCATTGACTTGACCCTCGAGAGCCTTCGCTGTCTTACCGCTAATCATCGCTGTGAACAACTGGTCGAGGTCTTCGGTCGTCCAAGCCTTGGACCCCGGTCTACCACGAGAGCGTTTGGCGGGACCATGATCCGCATTCCCGGGAGCAAGCTTCTTCTCCTCGACATCGTCTTCAGACTTCACGGATACGGATGATGTGTCATCCTCGATCTTGAAAGGCGTGGGGTCCAGCTCATCGCGCTCTTCGGTGGTGCGCTTGGGCATGGTGGCGTGTTGCATGGGAGCGGCGACGAGTGCGAGCTCTTATGGAGTGAGCATCAGTCGACCGCGCGTGTCTGCTGAGCACACGGGGGCGCAACGCGCAACGGGCGCGCAGCCGTGGTCCTGGCCCAGCCGCCCTAGACGATCCACACGATTGCGCGACCAGGTCCTTTCCTTCATCCCGTTCTTGTCTCTAGGCAATATCTTAACACCAGAGCACAACACCATGTTGACCCGCCGCAAGAGCCAGCCCAGCCCTCCGCCTCCGCCTGAGCATGACGAGCTCGACGATACCAAGTCTGACCTGACCGAACTCGACATCAAGTCAGAATCGGACCAGACTCCTGAGCCCGCTCCCAAGCCAGCGAAGGGCAAGCGCAAGGCGACCAACCCATCAAAGCCCGCTTCCTCTGGTACTGTCCAGCATCGAGGTTCGACACGCACTGACACCAGCTAAGCGCGGGCGTGGGAACCCGTGGACGCCGACCGAACGTGTGCTGCTGCTGAACGCAATGCTTGCGCAGAAGAAGGGCGCCGAGCTTGAGGCCGCCGTCCCGGGCCGCACGGCGAATCAATGCACTACGACGTGGGCGTGAGCTACCTGACGAGGCTACCCAGCTCACGCCAGAAACACTCTCAAGCCCTTCCTCGTCCGCTGCATCGAGAACGGAGGGAATGCCGGGAAGTAGTGTATGCACACACTTGATGAGGGCGCGCGAGGTCCTTTCGGTCCAGTCAACCGCACAAGGAGCTTTGACACACACACACGTCCAGCGCTGCACTCACGATTACTCTCATCCTCATTCCCTCCATTCACCGACGACAGTTGTCATGTCTAGCCAGACCATCACCCCAGAGACCCTTCACACCGTCGACACCCTGTTCAAGGAGGAGTTCGAGTCGGAGCAGGACGAATACAAGCCCGACACGAAGAGGGCTAAGCGTAGCCAGTCTCGTGAGCAACGTTCCGAGTGTGTTCAAACCTGACAGGCAGAGACCGGCGACAAGCGTAAGCGCGGCGGGGCCAAGGGCGTTCCTTGGACCCCTGAGGAACGCGTCAAGCTCTTCGAAGCTATGCTCGCTGGCAAGAAAGGTGCAGACCTCGAAGCTGCGCTTCCCGGTCGCTCGGCACATCAGTGTCAGACTACCTGGAGGTGAGTTGTCGTGATCCCTGCAACAACTAACGGCAGCAACACGGTCAAGCCGTTGATCATCCGCGGTCTTCGCGAGGGCAAGAACGGGGGCGGAAAGTAACGAGAGTCCTGACTAAGTCTGTAGTTAGAGATGTGGGTTAGCCATGCTCATGCATCCTACTCTGGGATGCGGCGGAATGCATACACCTGTGAGGGGCGCTCCTTCACTGACGACTGTCAGGCTGCAGAAGACATCTTCACTCTCCTCTCCACTCATCATGTCCAACTCATCGACGAAGGCGGGGGCCGTCAGTGCCAGCTCCGACATTTCGGTCAAGGAGGAGTCCGCATCAGGATACGAGTCGGACGTGAGACCGAATCGCAAGCGCTCCAGAGGCAAGGGTCACAAGCAGCGCCAGCGTTAGTGCGGGGCTTCAATGATGTGCTGACAGCCAGCCCGTGTCGCCGGTAAGGGCGGGGCTTGGAGTGGCGACGAGCTGAAGGCGCTGTTCAACGGCGTGCTTGCAGGGAAGAAAGGTGACGAGCTCGCCTCTTGTGTCCCCGGCCGCACTGCAAACCAGTGCCGTACCACCTGGCAGTGAGAACTCCAGTGAAACATGAACTGACTCCAGCAACACAGTCAAGCCTTACATTATCGAATGCCTCGATGCGAAAGGAAAGCAGTCCAAGTAGCGTGTCTAAGAGGTGCATGCTCATCGCTGTTATAGCTACTGCAGTCTGTCGGTCAGCGATTGTGAGCTCAGAAGGGCTCACTGACTTCTTCGCGCCCTTCCCGCGCTCATGGAGACACTTGATGAGATATGGACGAACGCTCTTCCTGCTGGTCAGTGAAGCCCATCAAGAAACTTACACCCATAGATCATGCGCCTGCTTCGCAGTGCGGCCGGGTACATTAAGGTCCTTGCCGCGCCTGCCCTCTGTGACCTGGTTGAAGAGAAGTTCGAGCTCATCGCCTGTCCAGGCCGTCATGACACGCTTCCGCGGCGAGTCAGGGCCGGACTGACGCTTACGCTTGTTCACATCGGGTGTCTTGTCGTCAACCGGAGGCGTCCCCTTCGAAATCTGACTTGTGCTGGCTGAGGTCCGTTGAGGGCGCTGGCATCCACACACTTGCCCGCGAACGGACACTCGCCCCCTTTCGTACCGTCCGCATCATCGACGACCAGCACCGCCACGGAAACGGAGGTTTGCACAACCACCTGCCAGTCAGCAGAGGTGACAGCCATGCCAGTCGTCAGCGCTAACAGCCTCGTTGGGGTGAAGTGCCACCCGCAAGGTGCCACAGACCTACCGGATTGGAGGTTCGCATGCACGGGACTAACGAGAGCTTACTGGCATCCTGGCCCTCTGACCATTTGAGCAAGCTGCAGAATAAGGCAGTGCGTCTGTCTAGCTTGGCGTGTGACAGGATGCAAGAGGCGCTGACGCCGGATCCGACCCTTACCATGCTCGTCTCCGATCCGACGCACAGGTCAGGCGTCACATCTCGTCTTCAGACAGTTCTCACAGTGCAGCAGAGCGGCGCAGCCCGCCGCCAGCCCGCCTGACACTGGCTGACCACGTCTGCAGCTCCACCGGCCTGCCACATCCTGTGGGGCTGTGGTCGCGCATGACTACCTGAGCTGAGACCGAGCTCGATCACAGCTTCTATCTCCAGCCCACCCCCAGCGTAGCGGCGCAGCAGCATGGACAACGCGACAGCAAGACATACAAACATTCATGTCCACGCCAGCTCCCACTCCGACTCGCAGCTCCCAGGATCCCAGAGCGTCGCCTTAGGTCGACACCACTGACTGACTTATCCATCGCAGAGCGACTGCGGAGCCAAACAATCAATTCAGGGGGGTATCCCCAGTGCGGTGCAAAGCGCAGATCCGCAGAGAGCGCAGGCTAAGCACAGCATACAGCTTCCCTATCTGGCCTTACCCGCTCCACGACCATCTGCATCGACTCGATCTGGTATCTGGCAGCATCAAGTTCCTCAGGTCCTCAGTACCTGTCTTACGCACTTTACGGACATCTCGTTTCGCGAGGTATGCGCTGTACCTAATCTAGGATCGCTGCGCGCCAACCTCGGCTTGCAGTTCAGCAGCCGCTGCCTGAAGCCATTGCTGCATCTGCATGTCCCACGGGGCGAGGAGGGGGTAGTTATGCCCGATCAACACGGGACGGTCCGCCGCGCTGTTGCACGGACCGCACGCACCGGAGAGGGCGGCGGGAGCGGCGAGGCATAGGAGAGCCGACGCTCCCGAAGACGTTTGAACCGCAGCGATGCTCAGTCGCCAACGAGCTATCTAATTGTAGATCTCGTGTTCCAACATCTCCTGACTCATCGCATCTTCCCTGGGCATGGCGTGCTTCTCCTATGCTGAGCTGAAGCATCTCATCGGAACTCCCTACGGTGCGAGAGTTTACACTTCTGAAGAGTGAAACGAGACGAGACATCACGGCATTGTTGCGATGCCGGGCCGTTCGGACCACGGTCTGCGTGGATCTGGGCTCAGCGCTCAACCTTCATACTTGTCTGATACCCCAGGTACGCCGGAGATGCGCTCTGCGGCGTTTGGGTAATAACGGTACAACGCATGATGCATGACGAGAAGGTGAAAAGCTAACTCTCCGTCTCACGCTCGTTGAGATCGGAATACAGCGCTCCACATCTCTTACGGAAGGGGTAGCTATCTAGGGGCAGCAAGGGGTTGCCGGTCGCCGAAGCACTGGAGCACTGGCAGCGAAGGTTGGAAGATTCAGGCCACCGGTCCCAGAATGTCGGGAATGCTGCAAGCCACTGGAAAACGAATGGAGATAGACTCGCGCGCCCAATGACTTAATGGCATCCCCAAGCCCTAATGGAGGGATCGGCTACTACTTCCGCGACGACGGGAAGGCGAGCGATGCATCAACCCAGCAGAGTCTGGTGATTCCGCCCCCACAGATGGTGATTGAGATAGCAACCTGAGGCGGACACACGGGAGTCGACTTGACGTCCAGATAACGTACAACTGAATGCTGGTTTTGTTTCGAACATGCTCCACCCCTGCCCAGTGCAAGTACAGATCGGTTTCGTCCTGCGGTTGCGGGTCATGTCATGTCATTTTTCCAGGAAATGTGTACTCATGAATGTAATCAAAAGTGCGGAGGCCGGTGCTACCGTCGTTCCGACCACATCTTGGCCGGGCTAGCGCAGTACCGACACTCTCGTTGTCATGATCTTAGTAAAGGTACCGGGGACCGGGGACCGGGAGCGTGCCAGGCGTTGGCTAAGTATCCCCTTGGAGACGGATATGGGTGGACAGCCGATGGCCACGACATCACCCGATGAAGAATTGGCCGGGTGGTCGTTCAAGGTCGCACCGATGGGCTGGACAGGCGGAGCGGAGGCGACAGTAGACGCAATACGGCACTGGTCGATGGCCATGCTGTAAGGCTCTTGTGGCGTAGCCTCGGAATCAGTATAGCTCGCCATAGCGCCAAGTTGAGAGCGCTTTCACCTATTGCAGGAAGGGGCGAAACTCTCACTGACCGCAGCGCCGCATCATACTCGTCTCTCACGTCTCTCAGATCCCAGACCGGCTCCTTGCAAGCAAGAGTCACGACTCACCTCATAGCCAAGCAAGGTTATGACCGCCGGATGTCCAGAATCACGGCAGATACCAGGCCTTGACTTCTCATACGGGAGACGTTACCCGTAATAGTTTATGCACCGGATCGCGAGAACGGGCCACGGATCGGTTGCAATAAAGCGCGCGCAGACCGTTGGCTGCGGCCGTTGCGTGTACGTTGCCTAGCCCGCACTCCGAACTGAGGTTGGAGTGCGCTAGGACGCAACAATCGAAAGGGCTGGGAAAGCGCATCCCGGCGAACAGCAGTCCAGCTTGTGGATGTCTTGAAACGCTTCCCTGCCAGGTCCGCGGCTTACATGTGTTTAACCGCTGCAACGTTTTTGCCTCACTTCCGATCTCGTAGTTGCTATTGTTGTCATTCTTGCCGCTCTTCCCGTCTATGTCCACGATGCCGGCGGCTTCATCAACACCAGCCCAGTGGACAACCTACTGCGGACCGCCACTTACAAACAGCCCAGAGAGTTTTGCATCAAAAGCCGAGGAGCCCAATCGCAGCGGCTGCGGCATGAGCTGCTGAGGGGTTGCTAGCTCACTTCGGGCCCATCCCCGGAACCCACTCTCTCGAAAGACCTTGACGGGGCGATTCGCTTTAACTTCAAACCGTCATCGGTCACAGACCATCGGATCCACTTGGCGGGAGACGTTAGCCTGGCCGGAACTGAGATGAAGGAGATGCGGCCCACGTCTGCGATCTTATTAGCGCTGCGCTCGTCGCCACCTCGACAAGACCGAGTCACTGCCCGGCCGCGTTCACGCGATCCGTGCATGCCAGTGCCACATGTCACCATCAGCACTACAATCGCTGTACGGAATCCGTCTCGCTCCTAGTCCCCAGCGTGGCCGCTGGGGTGAGACCTGCTCCCCATAGACTAGTCCAAGCGAGGAGCCGAGCGACTGCCTAAAACTATGCCTGTGTCTCTACCCAAGGAGTAGCCGATTGCCATTGACTCCATTGTACGCCGCTGAGGAAACAGATCTGTGACAGGAACACCTCTGTGGTATCTTACAGTATGGCTATCTAGGCGAAGGGCCGACGATCTGTTCAGCCAAGCTGCGCGCACGGGGTACAGGGCATTCATTCACGCGCAGAGAGCGTCGCACTCCCCTTGCAGATTTGTTCCTGTGCTGACGATAATACAAAGCCATGCTCAAGACAAGGTTCCACCCACTGCAGGTACACCCAAAAGTGCAGAAAGTTAGCGGAAGCTGTAGCCACTCGATGCGAAACCCTGGCGTCATGTGCGATGAGGAGGAGCGGTTGTCGCAAGTTTGTGCTTCCTCGTGCCAATCGTCGAGGACGTCGTGGACCATCATCGGTGACAAAACGCCACGACCGGGAACCAGCGTACGCGCTCCAAGAGTTCATGACATGGGTCGCCGGTGTCTTACGCGGCACTACGGTGGCCGAGCTTGCCGACCCGTGACTGAAGTTGAGGAACGTACGACACCTCGCACGCAACGCACGCCAGGACTTTGAGACCCGGGTACACCTGTGGGGGGACCTGCCGAGTTTACGAGCTTGCGGACTCAGGTACATTGCATCTTATCTGAGTTCGGGCGCGGGGGTCGGAGCGTCGGATTCGTGCGCGGGATGGTGCCACGGCGAGGGATGGCCGTCGAGGGACGATGTTCCTTGAGGAGGGACTTACATACGTGACCCGCCGTGGGACGACATGCCAAGGGCACAAATTGGAGCTGTGCACCGCGGAAGTGACCCGACGAGGAGGTGGGAATCAGTGCACTCCGTCGATATGGGCTAGATGATGGCGTCAATGTCAGTGAATTGCTATGCATCTAGATCCTGCCTTTCCTGCAATGCTGCGACTATCCGATGCTATGCTCTTCATGCCCGCCCCCATCGTCTCATCGTGCCCGACGGCCCGCTGCTCGGTGCCTGTTGCACCCGCGGTCGAGGCTTGGCCCGGTGGCATAGCTGTGCATGTAACCTCCGCCATCAT